TTGTGAATCAGCTTTATTTTTTGACATCGGACATCTGACACAACGCCATCTAGTTTCAAACTAAGCAGAGCTTGTACTATGAAAGCTAGATTGACTGATAGAATACTTTGTTTTTGTAAATACATACATGTTATACATAGAAATCAACCAAACTCCGAAACAAATATTTGCAGATTATACAAACATTTTTTTCCGACCCCGGAATCGAACCTGAGACCTCAGCACAGCAGTCGCATACGCTACCACTGTACCACTGAGGCTGGTATTTTAGGACATATTATGGACAGGACATAAAATGTCTTAAATTGGAAGTTGTTTTTCTTTATTGAGTTAATTCTGTCATGAACATTAAATTCGGCGAATTAAGAAGTGTTTAAGCAATAATAAAGTAATTTTTTTAACATCCTTTCCTCCTTCCTTCCCATTCCTTTATAGATAATAACAATAATGTTCTACATCACACAACGCCATCTAGTCCCAAACTAAGCAGAGCTTGTACTTTGGGTACTAGACAACTGATATAAATACATATATACTTTTTTTTTGTAAATACATACATATTATACATAGAAACACCCAGACCAAATCAAACATTAAATGTTCATGCACACAAATGTTTGACTCGAGCGGGAATCGAACCCGCAACCTTTGGAATAGCAGTCCGTTACACAAACCACTACGCTATTCGGTCGTCGAATTCAAGATAAGATTCCTTCAAATTTTATACTTATAGGTATTTTACCCTTGGGATGTTTGGAATGAAACGACAATTTAGAAAAAAATATTATTTTATTTAAAGTATACACAACTGATATGTTTATCTCAGCTTACTATTATATAATACTGAACTTTAAAACTATTAACAATAAAAACGACAATATCCTGAGCAGTATTTATACATAGTATGTTTTTTAAATAATTACTAATATTTATATAGAGTAATACTAGTATATTTAGGCTACGATACATTTAAAAAAAGAACGAACATAATAAAACTACTCATATAAGTCATATGGCGTTTTAGTATTAATAGTATGTGGGTACAGACATGCTGTAGTGACTCTCCCTCGCAAAGACCGGTGTTGTTCTAGTGGTTAGTGACAATGACTGCAAAGCCGGAGGTCGTGGGTTCGATTCCCACCCATGAAAAAAAAAATCATGAGCATGATCATTTGTTCTGTCTTGGTGTAATTTTTCTACAATGTGTATGTATTTAGATATAAATAGGTACGTTTATTAGCAGTCTGGTTACCATAGTACAGGCTCTGCCTAGTTTGGGATCAGACGTGTGTAAGATCAATGAAGTGAAATTATAATTACTAAATCTACCACGAAAAAAAAAACGTAAAACAACTCCCTACCAGGGTATTTTCATTTGATAAATATCCTTTTACTATTTGTGTAACCGACGGCCTCCTTTATAGACCAAGCATTAAGGCAGAAAAGGTTGGTCACGCCTGCCTGCCTGCCCCCCCCCCCCCCCCCCTCTACCTCAGATAAACACAGGTGTGACAAATAAAACATACACATATAAACATTTAGTATTTAAAATGTCATTTTTTTCGGGCGGCACATTTGTTTAAAGATTAGAACCAAGAAATTGCTTCAACATTTAATATAAGTATAGGTATTAAAATATAAAATACAAACAATTACAAACACAAAGACATATCTCACGGTACAAATTAATAAACAAATAAACATTTTAACCTTACAACTTAACTAAGAACATTCAAAATGTTAATGCCTTAAATTTGTAATGCTAATAGCAACATATTCATAAAATAATTTAACGGAATTCTAAACATAAATCCAAATACGCTATTAAGTATTAACGACATGGGGAAAAACACATCTGGTCCATACAGTAAGGCTAAACATATATCAACAATATTGATTATTTGTTTATTAAAAGCATTAATCCTTAATACTACTATTCGAATAATAACAAAAAAATAATAACAACTTCACACATGTCACACACGGCCGTCTGAGCCCAAACTAGGCAGAGCCTGTGCTATGGTAACCAGACTGCTGATAAACATACTTATATATTTTTAAATACATACATATTTTAGATAAATTACACCCAGACACCAGACACAGAACAAATGACCGTGCTCATCACACAAATATTTGTCCTGGGTGGGAATCGAACCCACGACCTCCGGCTTAGCAGTCAGGGTCACTAACCACTAGACCAACAGGCCCGTCGAATACAAAAACCATTTTTGTATTGGATACAATATTCATAATGGAAAGCTGCTGGATGTGTAACATCACGGTATAACAATTAATGTGACGACCGAATGGCGTAGTGGTTTGTGTAACGGACTGCTATTCCAAAGGTCGCAGGTTCGATTCCCGCTCAAGTCAAGCATTTGTGTGCATGAACATTTAATGTTTGATTTGGTCTGGGTGTTTCTATGTATAATATGTTTGTATTTACAAAAAAAAAGTATATATGTATTTATATCAGTTGTCTAGTACCCATAGTACAAGCTTTGCTTAGTTTGGGACTAGATGGCGTTGTGTGAATGTGGTAGAATATTATTTTTATTATAATTAGTGTAGTGGCGGATTAAGAATACGGAATGTTACTACCCCAATTCATCCCGTGGGTGTCGTAAGAGCCAACTAAGGGCGCAAAACAAAGCAGGACACCAGCACAGCAAAAAAAAGGAAAACTTGACACAAACCCTATACCAACCCTGTCTGGCCAGCGTGGTATAATAGGCCAAAACCTCCTTTCTAAGGAGAGGCCTATGTCTAGCAGTGGACTGTTAAAGGCTGTTGATGCGATGTGATAACCATTAAGAACAGAGCAATAACCATAAGCGCCAGTAAATCGACGGGAAACGGCTTGTTAATTTATTAATATAGCTGTTATAATGAGTATATAATTACAAAAACTCTTAAATAAAACAAAGTAACGTGATGATTTAATTACTGTAACCTACAACAAAACATAACCTTTAACATGAATGAAATACATACTTACTGTGACTTCTATTTACAATGAAACAAAAACATACTACAGCGCCATCTAACGAAAACACACCGAACTACGGAGTTACTGTTAATCCTGTATCGCGATATGAAAGTTCTCACGCCGACTTCTATTTATACAACTTCTAAACGGCCGCGGCCCGCCAGGCATGATCACCTCGCCTGGTTGGAGGATCTATACTTAGGGGAATATACCCGTTCCTCCACAAATATAATTTTTGTATTAAGCTATTAAATTAAAGCTTGTTCAAGAAACGTTATACCTACTACAGTAGCATAATAGCAATTATTATCTACTTTAGTTGTGCTTCTTACATGAATACAATAAAACACACGAATTACTTATAAATGAATACCTATAATGTTTTGATATGATGAACCCTTTTTTTTTTTAACGTGTGGAAATCCCCTCGCACCGTCACCCCGCCGGGGTTCTCGTTCGGCGGGGCGGTGTGCCCTCTTTGCGCTGGAAGCGCAAAGAGGGCACACCGCCCCGTTTAGGAGGGGTCCAAGTAGTTATCGCCTTCTGGACCCCTCCCAGCGCCGGCCCGCTCCTGTTGCGGGCTCCGTCTCAAAATTTTCCTCTCTTTAGGCGACGTCCGGCACACGCGGACGCCGCCCCCTCGCGGCTTGCCAAACTAATGCGGGTGGAGGGGAGATGATATGATGAACCCTACCCTAAGCTACCCGCAAGCATTTGAGACGGAGTTCGATTTCATAATGACGGTTGGCTCTTATTGGCAACAGCTAATTTATACTGTTATTTATATGACACATATATTTTTTTATATTGAGCGATGGAATCCTTTATTAGTAAAATATTTAATAATGTTTCTTTCCCTGTCCTAGGGGCATTTCAAATCATAGGACGGACATAAGAGAACTGCCGTGGGAAAGCAATGTTTCAGCAAAAATAGGCCAGCTCGACCGGAGTGTTACCACGCAAAAATCTATGTTAGCAATTCTTTCGTTGTGCTTTATACTTAGTGAGAAAGGTTACCGAACCCCAAATTCCCCTGGATCTTAGGTGAGGACTCATACAATGATATAATGATTGACTCGATAGGCCGGAGGAAGCACGTAGCTTCCCCAGGATAGGGCCTTACTAGGCGCGGCGTCGATCCGAGGGATTGAGGGGGGCTGAAATAACAAGATGCGGGTCCTCCTAGGATCGCGTGTTACCTGAAACCGGCCGTCGGGGTGGTTTTTAGTGGAAACGCCATATACTCTTGGCTCCTGCGTCCGCGAGGAGCCGGAGATCAGAGGGGATTTTCGACCCCGTCAACAAAAAAAAAAGGTGAGGACTCAAAGGGAATCAACGTACGTGTGACTCTTGAACTGTAGGTATCTATGGGCGGAGGTGATCACTTACCATCATGTGACCCGCCTCCTCGTCCTCCTATACTATAAAAACGAAATCCTGTCCGAGCTACTTCCTTCCGATTTACAGTATCCCACCCTAACTCTGTCGTCTTATCCGTTTACTTATCTCAATTCAGTTTCTTTATTTCCCATAGCCCCCTTTGCAATGTTAAACTTTGCACCATCTCTGAATAAAATTGGGAAAAGATGATGATGTCAATAAATAGACAGTGATAATATATTTTAAATTTAGATTATTAGATAACTTTAATACTTTTTTAAACAATTTAGTTAACTATTTTTAATAAAGTAACATTTTTTGTTTAACTTTATACTTTTAGTAAGCAATAGAAGATAAATTTCGAATATAGTTTCTTATACATACTAAACAAATAATTTTTTTTAACATTAGACATTCAATGTGACCTGTGTGAGACCTGTGTTTACTAAATTCATTTAAACTGCTGCAAATAAATTACAAAAATAATTTCAAAGACCAAATAAATATAACAAAATAGAGAGCGATATCGACAACTTAGTTTTGACACTCAACCACTAGATGTCGCACTTTCGATTTAGTCATGGTCCCCTTCCACAGATGGCGTTACACGACACGCAACATCGGTGTCTCACAATTCATCCCTCTTGGAACTGCCTCTGCGAAGTGCGAGATCGTCGTGTTGGAACCACGTGGCGTACACTCTGCTGGGCTCTGGAGATGAGTGGCGGTGGAAGGATATCGGCCTATCGCGGGCTAGTACTTCACGAGCGTAGTCTTGCGGACGAGCCTAAGATGGACAATAAATATACTCCTATATTGCAAGCATTCTTCATTATTCCAAAGAGTAAGATGCAAGGATTACCATAGGTTATGAGATAGAGCGAGAATACCGATAAAATAGTGTGTATGATTCCACTTCTAAATACGTAAACTTACTTGATGGAATAGAGGCGAGTGTGTGAGCGTGAGGTTGAGCCTGAACCGTGCGCAGGCGCCGAGCGTCATGTCGTCGGGCGCGCTGGCGCCTGCGCACGAGCACGTCGACAGCTTCTTGGCGGCGCCGATACTCAGCACTGTCCCGCCACCACCCGTTATGTAGTCGTACCCTAATTTATAATATATTACATTAAACATGCACTTTTTGTAAATCACAACTATTGAAGCACGGTTTTATTATATTACACTGTTGGACTAGTGTTTAGTGACCCTGACTGATAAGCCGGAGGCCGTGGGCTCGATTCCCAACCAGGACATATAATCGTTGATCAATCATTTGTTCTGTGCCTGGGTGAATAATTGATCTATAATATGTGTGTGTATGGAAATATTGCGTTTATGTCGTAAGATCCGACTAAGGGAGCAAACTATGTAGGACAAGGCAAAGAGAAGGAAACTTGACACAAACCCTATACTAACCCGTCTGGCCAGCGTGGTATAGTACGCCAGAGCCTTCTTTCTAAGGAGAGGCCTATGTCCAGCAGTGGACTACTAAAGGCTGTTGATGTGATAGAAATATTTAAGTATGTTTATTACTGGTAACCATAGCACAGGCTCTTCCTAGTTTAGAATCAGACTGCCGTGTACGAGATGTATGGAATTATCGTAAAATTACCTTATAAGTAAGAATCTAATAATATTAATCCACAAGCCTATTTGTCTAATGGTTAATGACCGTGGGTTCGATTCCCACATAGACCAAATATTCAAATAAGGAACTATAAGCTACACTAACCCTTAGCAGCAGTTTCTTTTTTCCCATAACCGTATCCATATCTCTCCCCGAGTACAGTGACGTCATCGCCTCCTCGATAGCAACTTAGCACCTCGCACAGTCTTTGCACCCTATATCAAATAACAGAAAATATATGTTTTAGATAGAACCCTATATAAATTTAATAGCCTATATAAATTTACAAAGAAAATTAGTAAAAAATAATTTAATCGCCTCATTATCGGTTGCTTATAATTACTCCAATTATTAAAAAAAAAACACTTGTATTGACGATAGCTTCGTAATTACTTCCATTTATATTTTTCTCAACGTTATGTTAACATTAATTGCGTTTTACTAGTCGTTAAAAATTTTGATGATTAAAAGGCCTATTCTCGTAATAAAAGTTCAGTCAAAATTCAGTTCCGATCAACTCTCGATCCCGTAACTGTCATAAAAGGTATTTTCGTAGTAAATGAGTGAAGTATTACTAAGGCTAGCAGATTACCGATTCAATTTTCGCTTACAATACGATATAATCACATTGCAGTAAACCTTGGATGTTTAATACTTTACTACGAAAATACCTTTTAAGACCGTTTTGAGATCGAGACTTGAACGGAACTAAATTGTGACCGAACTTTTATTACGAGAATTGGCCTTCAGGTATACACGTATCGGTATGCCTATACTGTAGTGAACTAGTGGAACCAATAGTTTAACCATTAGTTTGCTAACTTAAGTCCTGATGGTCAATTCTCGTGATAAAAATTCGTTCAAAAATCAGTTCCGATCTCCTCTCGATCTCGAGAATATCATAAAAGGTATTCTCGTAGTAAAGTATTAAACATCCAGCGTTGCCTGTAATGTGATTATATCGTATTATAACCGAAAGTTGAACCGATATTCTGCTAGTCTTAGTACTACTTTACTACGAAAATACCGTTTATGACATTTGTGAGACTGCGAACTGAATTTGGAACAATTTTTTTTACGAAAATTTACCTTTTGATCAACGCAACGCTCACCTTAAGCTGATATTGTATTACTTTGCCAAAGAACTCACCCTAAAATAGTATCATCATCAGCCAGGAATATCCACTTGACCTGTGGCATGTTCATCACTATCCTCAACACTTGCCTCAATATAGTCACAGTTTTGGTGCAGTGGCCCGTCTTGCTGTTCGGCACTCCCGTGTCTACAGCTGGTATGGAGCGATCTAAGAAATAATCATTAAATACATTTTGAAATACGAAATCAGAAAACGCAAGTCCGATTCCAGTTGGATCGATGACCTGAAATGGGGAAAATTTAAAAATATTGTTTTGTAAGCCTTGCTTAAATAGTTTTTATTTTTGGAATTAATAGACTTCGAAGCTCGAAGTTTTGCAACACAACAATGTACGAGATTAATAAAATCCATTTTTTTTTAGAAATAATTATAGAATACATTACAGGTCTAACTTGTGTCTTGTGTCTTGGCGTAATTTATTATTTCACGGCACGGTAATTTATTCTTGGAATGACTGCACAAATTTAACAGCTTTATTTCTTTAAGAGGAGGAGACTATTTCGCAAATGTGATAAAAAGCTCCCCGTCTGGTTCGCTACGGCTTTTAAGAGGGTAGATCTCTCAAGTTTTAGGAACATAAGCTCATTTTGGTACGCTGCCAGATAAATCACTTGTTCTAGAAATATCATTGAGACAGTAGCTAGTACTTGCCACTTTGTTTAGGTGACCACGTCATACATCGTAAGGTACACTTTTCAGAATTGTTTAGTTGTACTACAGTACAACCAATCAACTGCACGGGTGGCGTGGTGGTTTAAGCTATTGCCACGCCCGCCGCTTTCTACTACGCTAAGTGTTGTGGGTCAGATCCCCACATGGAACTACACTTTTTGTGATCCACAAATGGTTGTTCTGAGTCTGAGTGTTTTTTGTGCCCGTTTCATGTATGTTAGTAAAGTCCCCCGCGACACAGGATATACTTATTCCTAATGTGGGAGTTGTCTTTTTTTAAAGAGTAAAGCGAGAAAGAGAACTGTCAGCTCTAAATTGTTCCCTGGTAAACATTGATTGCAACTGATTATGTCAGGTGTTTGTTTCTCTCAATCCCAAGTTCTTCATCACACTTTCACCAAATTTGGTTGTATGCATGGTTAAAAAATATTACTCTAAAAATAATAATGCTTTTAGTTTAAAATTTAATTTAATCCTAGGGCAGGTTCTACCAGAGTTTTAAACCAAACCCCTCCCCCCCCCAGACCCTCCAAGAGCACTTGTGACTCTTGAGATGCAGGTACGGCGGTAGTCACTTACCATCAAGTGACCCATCTGCTCATTCGCCCCTAAACCATACAAAAAATTAAAAGTAAGGTGTGTGACAATATTTCTTCATAAAACAATATTTTTATTAGTATTAAATACGTTTACATCTCTGTTATTATCTTTTGAGTGGTTTTTTTTTTTTTAAATCAAATGGTTCCTTAAATAGTGTTAAATATAAGTACATATAATATAACAGACCATCAGCATCACTAAAGAACAGCAGATTCTTGACATGTCGTCCCCAAGTTTTCTTGACAACCTTGACTCTGGTGGGATGGTAGCCGCTCCAGGTCTTAACTGCGAAGAATATTGACTCCTGGGATATGGCACTGCCCTGCCGATAATATGGAGGTCAAAATACCTTGATGACTAAATGGTCAGTTTTACCTTTGAATTATAGTTGCATAAATAGTGCATTCTAGCCACCCATAAAAGGCAATTTCGTGCATAAAAGGGTAAAGATATAATTTTTTTAACTAGATAACCATGTGGTGGACCGCGACCCAATGGTCAAAGTTATATAAATACCAACCGGCGCAAGATATTTGCAGCGCGATGTAGAAATAGTTAATATTCCTACTACGTAGTTTGGCTAGTCTTCGCTAGATGGAGTGTAAGTACGTTTTCGGGGTATTGGGACTAATCCCACCCACACGCCCACCGCTGTAACTCCTGTACACCAGGATCCACAGCAGTGACCTACGAACACACCGAGTTATGACACTCGGGAAGTCCCAGGAAGAAATTAAACTGTCTTGGAACCCGCAACGAAATTAATCAGAAGAAAATTGGAGGAGTTGGAAATGCAGTAAATCCACTTCCCTCCTTAGCAAAGCGGGTTTTCGGGGTATGTGGAGTTCGCCTTCACTTCACTTTGTATAAAATATCTTAAAAAGTTCGAGAAGTGTTTTGGATGTTTCTAATAAAACTCCTAAGGTTTGAGAAGTTTTTTTGGTGTTCTCATTAAAACAAAAAGTCCCCTATTCTTCCCTTGATAAATCATTCAACAAAATTTGGAAAAAAAAACAACTACAATTTTTATAAATATTTAAACTCAAACTTAATAGTAATTCAGTCCTATTTTATTTGCTATGAGTAAATAAACAAAAAATGTGCTGAAACAACAACCGTTTTAAGACAACACTCACACATAGGTCAAACTGTCGCGGATAAGTTGCGCAATTGTCGCCCGACACTATACAGAAGCTCAGGTCGGGCGTCAGTAACGGCCCGGAGTCCTTCTCACTGCCATACACCAGCTGGGCCAATTCAAACGCTGGATCGATTGAGAAGTCCGCTTCTAACTTACGTTCACCACTTTCTATTTGGTTTAAGAGCCTAAAATATAATAATAATATAATAATAATAACCTCAGACATCACTCACACGGCGGTCTGATCAAAAACTAGGCAGAGCCTGGACTATGGTAACCAGACTGCTGATAAACATAACTTATTATAGATAAATTATACCCAGACACAGAACAAACGATCGTGCTTATCACACAAATATTTGTCTTGGGTGGGAATCGAACCCACGACCTCCGGCTTAGCAGTCAGGGTTACTGACTACTAGACCAACAGGCCCGTCAATATGACTGTACTATCATGGTTATGGTACAATTTTTCTACGTTTTCTACTTTAACTTCTGTTCTAGGTTTAGCATGCAATGGAGACGGTTAAGAACTGTTCGAAATTATGTCATTCAACTTTAATAACAATTTGAGTAATAAAAGGTTTACACCTACTTGTGCATCAGCTCAATTCTCATGGCGAACCCACTGGCAAAGTTGGGGTACATGAATCCTCCTTCGTCCTCCAAGTTCTCGTAGAATTTAAAGTGGTGAATGATCGTGGGTTCCTCGTCGCTCAGAGGGTAACCTATCCACATTACGTCCTGCACAGATATGTTTGCTAAGTTCTTAAGCAGTCATGAGAGTAGCAAGTTTTCGGTTGTCATGTGAGTTGGATGATTTCGATCGAGATTAACTTACATTCTGCTTGTCGGCAGCTGCTAAAGCCTCAAACAGCATATCACACTTGACAGCGGTGTGTGTCTCCAGGAATAGCACCCATCTGACGTCGCTGCCTTTATATCTAGACACCAGTGGAGACAGTAAAGGTAGTATCGTCCAGTCACCGGGTGTTGGGAAATCTTCATGGGTTATGTGAATTATTGGATCCCTCTGGATTGAAAAAATAATCAGCTAAAATATATTTTGCATATTTCCATAAAACGAAAATAAGTTCTTTGATATTTATCAAAAGATTCTTATAAAAAGAGTAAAACTTCATCTGTTAGTTGAAGGAGTCCATACTTTTGTCACTGGTAACAAGAACAGCGGTGTGGTAGTCCACCAATGCCATAATAATGAGAAAGAATACTTTACTGCTACTCTTACTGTACTGATTCTAACAAAAGAACCTAGCAAAACTTTTAAGATTTGATTATTGTGATCCAAAGAGAAGGAAAACTTCAAACAAAGCCTATACCAGGCTAGAGTGAGAGGAGATGCCTATGTCCCAGCAGTGGACTACTTAAGGCTATTGATGATGATGATTGTGATCAGGCAAACTTACATTTTCTAAATTCCGTACTTGCTTATGAATGTCTTCTTTGAGCCGTTTCGACACACTCGCATGGTAGGGCTCCGGTTGACTGACTATAGTGAACACTACGTTTCTTGAACCTACAACAAAATACAATATTCTACTGTTTTATTTAGTTTTCAATTTTGGTAATTACATTTAATTTCAATAATTTATTATACGCTACATAATCCAATATATTTTTGTGATATATTCCCCTAGCAACCCGTTCAGCTTCGCACGGATAGCAAAGCATATAAGCGACATTTTTCTTTATAACTCTGTGTTAATATTTTCAGATAGACATATAGTATTAATAAATTTAAATAGACCTTTTTAGGATGATTAAATCAGTAGGTAATACAGTGTTTATGCAGCGTACGAAAGGTCCCATTTTTTAGACAACTTAACTTGAAACAAGACAGGAATAAATTATACACCAAAACCTTCTTTCAAGAGTTACTCCATCCATTTCGTTCCATGAAATTTCGTTTCTTAGTTTGAGAGTAGATCACGTTCAGACAGACGGACAAAAAAAAACCGACGAGCGAGAGGCTTAATTTAACAATATGTAGTGTAAAAGTAGTAAGTAATTTTTCCTAAAAATAGTCATGAATTTTATTTAAATTAATAGTAACTGGCTACTCATTCCACAAACATACAATACAATTTCAACGGGATACGATTTACTATAAAATTTGTGGAAAGCATTGGCATCTCTAATCCCCGTACCTTCTAATATTCTGAGACTATATGTGTCATGAAAAATCTTGAATGTCATTCGTGATAAAAACGAGCCATTGAGCTAAGTAATAAGTTGTAAAACAATACGAGAATGTGAGTACTCTGGCGAAAGCAAAATTAAGCCACTAGACTTGAGCTTTGTACGGAATTAAAATACGTGACGGTAATATTGTAACTTATATATTAGAAAGCCTTATTAAAAAAATAGGGGTTTCAGTTTTTTTTAAGTTGAGTATTAGAAAGTTTAAGATTAGAAACTGTAAGTTGGAACTTGGCAAAATAAATACAGGTCTGTAATATTAGCAACTTTATTTTTTTGCAATAAAGATCATACCAAAACACGATGTCGATTAAGACATTCTTGAAACATCATGATACAGATTCAGCGAGTTACTTTCGCATTGAAGATTTCACATTTATTCAGAAATCATTAGAACATACATTTCAGTTCACATTATACCACCAAATAATTGATACGGATAAGCCGAACCCGAACCAATAACGTCATAAGCACATTAAGCAAGTAATCCTTTATCATCACGCCAGCTGACAATATCACACACAAACATCGATCACACGGAGCCATCAAATTACACCGAACATGATTTACGTCGTCACACGACAACGTCGCAGCATTATCGTCAAATTATGACGGATAGCTTCGGTGTAATTTATCACATTATACGTACTGCGAATTAAAATATATACTTTTACTTAAATTAGCACTAAACTGATAATAAAACATACACAACGCCGTGTGACATCCCTGGCTTTTGTCCCAGGGCTGTCACTTTTACGGTGATGATTTAAATTATAAGCTAGCTATGTAGTTTCTTCGTAATCCTAAAAGAGATAAAGAGAAAATTTCGAAGTCATAAATAAATATCAAACCATTAACAAGGTGCTTAAGTTATTACATTCGACAACATGTAAGAGGAACAAATTAATATTTATTGGTCACTTGCATCATTTTACGAAACCGATAAACGTTTTTAAAAAGTTACAGCCAGTGTAGTTTTGCTAAACCATTATACATAAACCTCCTTTCTAAGGAGAGGCCTATGTCCAGTAGTGGACTATTAAAGGCTGTTGATGATGATGATTATACATAAATATACACTTACGTCTTTATTAGACAAACTTATCTCCCGTCCAGGACTGTTCAAAAGTCTCGGAAACCCAATCCTTGAAGCACTAAATCCCGTACAAAAATCTACATAAGTGATGAAAATCTTTGCCAAATTTTGAGGTTTGGGACACCGGGTTGCAAAATTGTCACGATCATAGCGAAAACCGCATTTAAACATTAAACCGGAGCTGAGTGAGGAATGGTTGTAAAATTCACAATAATAGCCATAGACAATTCCTCCTTCAGCTGTGAATGTTAGTACTTTAACCTGATTTAGGAGCATTGCTAATTTTTTAACATCAGGTGGAGAAAGTGTTTGTATGCCACTTATTCTATTTACATACTTACGACTCTATGTTTTGAGACGTAGACTTCACATCGCTTTACGTACAAATGTACACCACGTTTCAAAACTTCTTGCTAATGTGCTAAAGACCTCACCAGATCTCGACCAGACAACATATGCCACAGGACCAGCGAGGAGTACTTATCAGCAACAGAATCTGTTTTAATTTATGTTTTGAACATGATCTTAAAGGTATTTTATTGGTTTTTTATTACCCAAAGAGACCCTTAAACATACCCAAAGGTCTCGAGCCAACACATCCACATTTAATTTCGTCTTAAAACTCCCATCAATCTTCGAAGTGTTGGATTTTCAGAGGAATCCAAACGAAAATCGATCAATTCCGATAGAGGGCCATGAATAATGCAAATCCTGCGATCACCTGAGGTGCGACACATTAAAATCGCATTCGACTTTATGACGTCCCCGGGGGCGGGCAAAGATGTATTACCGAGGCCGAGATAACTTAAGGGTTACGAAAAGTAACGTTTTATTTAATAGGTATGAAGAATTGAAGGTCTTTCACGGCCAAAAGTAGCAATCGATCGCATTCAAAACACTAAAAACAATCTGATTTGTTGCACGATAAGATTCGCCAAGTACGTAATGTGTTGAAGATTTTTACAGGGACGTTTAAAAATCTTTGCTTATTATGTTCCCAGTATGACTAAAGACATTAAGATATACATCATAGTTTGCATTGGGTACTTACTTTGTACAAAGACTAGGTCACGGTATCTTTCAATCGTCTCTATTTTCGTCAGAATTGGTCAGAATCAGTAATTAAAGAATTTAGTATCAAATAGTCGATAATTTTACTGACGCTAATAGCAGTAAAAATAATCTGAAAACAACTTCAGACAGCATCTTATCGCTTGCTTTTTAGTATAGAATTGAAAAAAGAAACTCGCTTTTGCTATTCTGCTTTATTCAAAGATTTTTAAATAGGATCCTTGTTTGTCTGAGGAAACCACTCCATTCGGCCGGAGCGCTGATGGTGCATGAATAAATTGTGCATCTGGAGTGGCGAGGCGACAAATAAGACCCGTTTTTGTACACAGTTTACTACTTAAATGAAAAAGAAAATTAATTGGGACTTAAATGCGCTGGTCAGGGGTTATCGGTATATTTGTAGTCTGAGAACTAGCTTTATTTCTATTTCTATTTTTTCTTTTTACAATTCGCTATTGAGAAACGTTTAGGTGTTTTGAAGCTACGCAACAATTGTTTTATTTAATACAAGAGCAAAATATTTTGATTTAATTTGTTATAACACACATTAGTTAGGACATCATTGCCTTTAAGAAAGCAACACGCATGTCAGAAAGCATATTATATGACCTTGATACAGAACGTAGGTTGAAACTCAAATCAAGTTCTCAAGTTTCAAATACTGCAGCTCCTATTAGCTCAGTCTGCGGACCCTTCAAGACAAGCTCTTAAGCCAATGATCAAGTTACGAAGTTAAATGAATTAGACGGCTCTCAGACCGGTACTTGAATTCCAAGAACAACTTGTAAACCATTTAAATGCTTACGACTAATTTGTACAATTTAATCACCATTGAAGGAAGGTAATTTTAAATATTTGTGTACCTATATAAAATAAATTGATTTGCTTATTTAGAATTTATATGGCTAAAGAATCTTACTGCAACCAGTCTTAGTATTTCGACTATTTCAAGATGTATTTTTATGGTATTGGGAGTAAGCGAGCAGAAAAGGCACCCGGTAAGTAACCACCACCAGTGGACACCTGGATCTCAAGAGTCAGGATAAGGTGGAAGGAGATGGTCTTCCGATAACCTCATTCACTCGATGAAAACTAACAAAAGAATTGAGATGTTTTAGGACACCGTAACGTAACACGTATCCGTAACACTATACATACATACATATATTAATGCATTTTAGAACAAAACATACGCTACTAGTGCGATAGGAAGTAAGGAAATCATAAGAGTGAAGAAGACAGCTATTTGTAATCAGTAAAGCGGCGACAGAAGGCATTTTATGATTTTTTTCGAATTAATTACGACGTGCGCGCGTTTTTTGTCCAAATTAGGACCCTCGCGTTTTGTACGTTGGTGGCGGATCTACCTCTTGTACTCGTATGTCTATAATATTATTGCCTAACACCGGTTACCTGTGAAACCGTGGTATTAGTCTATTTAGCCAGCAGATATGTGCTGAAGCATAGCTCCAGTATTATGTTAATTCCATAGAATGTTAAACATTGACAAAAAATATACTATACTATAAAAATACATTAAGAAGAAACCCAATTCAGAAAATACTAGTGCTCGCACTAAATCATGAAATTATTTTTACTAGAAATCACCTGGTGGTCGAAATCAATAATAGTTGATTAAATTCACTGTTTCGTTTTAAATAATTGTCGATTATAACTTGAACTGCTATTGAACAGACTTTCCTTCCTTTGATTAGTCCAAACACTAGATGGCTGTTACTTCTTGTAGTCGTTTTTTATTTATTTTTCTGCACTTCTGCGTGCACACCACCACATACGTTTACATTTCTAAGTGAGCGAAATTTGCTCAAAATGCGTACAAAGCAATTCAGTAATTTTTTGTATAAAAGTATTTTCAAGTGTAACATTACATCGTCAACGAATACACTTTTTTAAAATCTAAGTTGCTGCAACTCGATATCCAAATTTAACTTATGAATTATAAAATCTAAGCTATTTTAGTATCGCTGGACGTCTATGCAATAACTCAATTTCATTTTAATTAATACAACCCGTTGATGGATTTCATTTCATTCGCAACCAAAATTTTAATGAATTGACTAGAGTTACAAATAGGGTTGCCAGAGTAGTTTTGAAACTATGATCGATAACAGTACAAATTCAAGTTATATTTAAAATTGAATTCAGAAAAGGCGGTTTCATTACAATATCATTCGTCGCGTACCATCAAACACTTCAGCATGGTCTTTGAAGTTTGGGAAAAATAGTACTCCGAAATTTCGGATCAAAATGTTGTAACAATTGGACTCGAGGCCAAACTCTTCACTTAATTATCTTGATCCAGATTGAGACTATTTGGCAACCCTAGTTAGGAATATTAGATGTTAATGGCAGTAACAGGCTCCGTTTTATCAATCTAAAATAGATCATTTTAAATCAACTTCGGCGCTACAAATCTCGATGGACTTGCAAATCCAGTGATTTTTATTATAAGGTTGATTAGTCCGAATTTATGGTACAACACTATATGGATATATGCAACATACAATATCGTTATTTGTATAAAAGTCTTTATTTCTAAAAGAGATCTTGTACTAAATTCACACAATCAACAACGTTAACAAGCAATGAACGTAGGACAAACAAAGTACTTCACTTTGAGTTACTGCAGACTTAGTCCAATTTCTACTTCAAGACTTGTGGTATCCTTTACATCTAGTATCAGTCATCCATAAAACAAACAAGCTATTACTGTAAAATAAATTGAGCCGTATCTAAATAAAATAGAGAAAAGGGCAGGCACATCATGAGTTCCTGTCTACCGTGTTTATGAACGATATTTTACGACACTAACGATTCTACATCTTCTTTTCTTCTTTAAAAATCTCCCGCACTAGGAATATATTTACAAAACTACATGAAACAGAAGCAAAAAACACCCAAACTCAGAACAACAATTTCTGGATCACACAAAGTGTTGTTCAATGTATCTTCTCAGCCGAAAGACGTCCACTGAACCCAGAGAACTCTGAGTAGGAACAGCGAGGTGACCGTTTATTCTACTACACCATCACACTGATGGCGTAGTAGTCTGCATCAACAACCACGACCCATGCCAACCTCACTAGCCTGATGCGGAGTTATATAGCGGATACCTGCAAAACATACACATCAGTTCTAACACGGGTACGCCTAATGCGGGGAAGAGGGCGAGGGCATACTAGTCCTCTATAACCTGTGGCAAAAAACTGGCAATAGATTTTCAAATTGCTAGCCGTGGGTCAAACGACAGCGTTCAATATATAGATAATAGGTCTTTACCTATGAAATTGCCGTTTTGTATGCAATATGTGAAAGTACTACCGACTATTACTTTTTCCAAAATTTAGACAACTTGTTAGTGGGTAAAAAATTCAATTCTCAAGAGGCAGTACAAAATGCCTTTGAAGAGTTTGTTGCCTCCCGTCCAGCTTGATTCTTACAAGAAGGGCATCAATAAACTGCCCATGCGTTGGCAAAGATGCGTCGATTGCATGGGTGATTACTTCGAATAACAGAAATAAAAAAGTTTGAAAAAATAAGTACTTTCACTTATTGCACACAAAACGGCAATTTCATAGGTAAAGACCTATTATTTGCAGATTAGTATCACCATCCATAACGTAATTCTGTACAACTAATTGACGTTTCTGCAGTCTCTATCGTTTGTATTATGGGGAACGCTCAGAAAAAAATCTTCGGACGTTCGACAGCAACTTTCTATCATCGCTGAATCCGACAGAACCTTCATCCCCCTCGGATAATTAATTGACACTTCAAACAATCTGTGGAACGAATTTTTGCCACATTATTTTTCAACTAACTTTAAACCTTCAAGAAAGTCGTACGTAGTCCCATATCAAAGGCCGGCAACGCACTCTTTGCAAGTAACACGTAAACCATCTACTCGCTTGCAATCAATATAATTAAATAAAAGTGACTTACTATTCTATTTCGATGTTTCAATGCTTTTTGGCAACGAAATGGCGTAAATAGAATGCAAGTTCATCAATAATTCGTGTACCGTCACAGGAAATGGACGGGTTGCCATCGAGATCTATTGGGAGAGACTCCGACAGTTGTTTGCAGACTATGTGGCATGCAACACGATACAAATGTACATTTTGAACTGCTTACATCATCGGGGCAACACTACTGGGATTGTCGGCTTTCAGTTAATATTTAAA